ATGGTTATCGTCTATTTATAAGATAGATAAAATTTTAAATTAAGTATTAAACTATAATTAAAATTAAAATATCAAAATCAAAGTATCAAAACACCAAATAAGTACTTACGGAATATTTATTGGGCTAGCTAACTGTTGAAAAGTTTTGTAATTTCATATTTTAGCTTCGTATATATTTTTAATTTAAAAAAATACAACAAATCTACATAGTCTGATTGGTTTTAAACCTTCACTTTGTTTGAAGTGACCATGGTTCAAATCTCAATATGTCTATCTTTTTCATTAAATAAATAAAAAATAAAAACAATTGTGTAGACAAAAATGTACTTCCTAATTTCCCTCTTATTGCAGGAAATTTGAAAAGGGAGATTAAGTTTCAAATAATTAAATCATATACCCTAGATCTATAGAACTTAAACCCTAATATCACATATACTAAGAACATAATAAATGATTATGATTCGCCAAGATGTATACAACATACCATATGCACTATATTAGGATTTAGAGAATTATGACATATGCTTTAGTTACGTGATTAATCTATGGTCTAGATAATGTTATTTAACTAAGGAGATGCAATGACCCTCAATCCATCGAGCGTGCCATAGAATTTCCAATGTATATACACATACCATTGTTTGTTAAATTTAGTCAATGATAATTGGCTCATTTGTCAATGGTATTTAGTCTTTCAATTGTTTGTTTATAATTGTCAACCATTAGATAAATTGTTAGCCAATGATTTTTGCTAATTCACTTATAGCACTGAAAATGTCTCGTTACAAAACCATAGATCACAAATGTCTAATTTTATATTTTGAAATAAAATTTTGTATAGCACTTTTGTAAACAATCATTGTATTCCTACAAACTACAAAGTCATGTAACCTAATAAATGTAAAAGTTGTAACACATACATAAACTGAAAATGTAGTATTTGATTCTTGGTGAAGAATTGTGTGATTAGAGGAACTCACTTAGTTGATTCATAAAGCTAGGTATATCATGATGATTCACTTTGTAAATAATTACAGTTATTAATTAATTCGATGATTGATTGTTGCGGTGGATAGTCTTGTGATTTTGAGATATTTCAGTATTTTATCTCTTTAATTCAAGAAATACATAAATATTGTTGTAGTCCAGTTGGTTAGCGATATTGACTATCAATTTGAAGGACTCAAGTTCAAATCTTTGTAATGACATTTTTTTTCTCGTAAGAAGATATTTAAGTTCTAAGTTGAATTTACAAATTTACCCCAACTACAATTAATGGAAGTGCAAGGAATTTGAAATGCTCAAAATCTATTGAAGTACTGCTATATATTATAGAGGGATATTGCAATCACAATCCTCAAAGTCACCATCATCTTCTCCCCCAAAATCCACCCTAATTCACTTCTTTCCTCCCTCTACCAAGAGCTTCAACTTCTGGGTTCTAGCTCCAACGGAAAGTGCATAAGCTCATCCTCGACAATACCGTCTCTCTCTCCCTCAAGCTACTAAAACCCCTTCGAAATCAGCGGCGGCGGCTCCCGTGACTCCCAATCCAAGTCGTCTGAACTCCTAACTTTTCTTGATCTTAGATCCAAGGGTTGGGGATATCTCGATCTGGGCAGTGGGTAACCAATCAAATCATCGGCCTTCGGCTCTACATCCCCCTTCGATCGACTTTCTCCCCCGCCGGGAACTTCTGAAACAACTGGGTATGTGAGAGAGAGTTCTAGATAAGAGAGAAATATACTTTCAAAAAAAAATAGAGAAGAGAGAAATGGCGGAGAAGGGAAACAAAAGAAGAGCGACCAGAGATCAGCGGTGGAAGGAAATTTGTGGAAGTGGGGAGAAGGACTGAAATAGGAGCGGTGATGTTGACGGATCATCAGGGAAGAATGGTTGGGAAAGGTATGGGGCTGTGTGGGCCGAGTGAGGAGAGAGAAGATCATTTTTAAGTTTTATTAAATTTTTAATTTATTAAATCTTTATTAATTTGTATTTTCCACATGGCATCCACATCAGCATAGCATGTTGATTCATTAACGATCAATGATGTTAACTGTCTACTTTAACGAAAATTTACAAGTCGAGCCAATTGAGTTTATATGGTGTATAGTTGATAGTTTCTGAAACCACTGTCCAAAGTTGATTATATGGGTATACTTCGGGCTAGGGATGGCAACTTTGCCCATACCCATGGGTTTCTTACTATCCAACCCAATTGGGTTGGGTATGAAATCCAAATAGATGGATATGGGTAGAGTTTGATGGGTTTGTACCCATACCCATTTACTTTGGGTTGAGTTGGGTTTATATCAAATGGATTTGGGTTTGTACCCATGCCCAAATACAAATTACAGTTTGGTACCCAAACTTAATAGATATGCATATTTAGTACCTAAATTTAATTTTTTTTGCATATAAGTCCTCAAAATATCGATGGAAAATTACGTTTTGGTACCTAAATTTTTTTGGCTTTACATTTTGGTACCTAAACTTTTCAAGTTTTGCAAATAGATCCAATTTTTGCATGTGTAGTTAAAACATCCTCAAGTAAATGGATATCCATATCCAACCCATACCCATTTAGATTATGGAAGCCCCAAACCCAAACCCATCTATAAATCCCCAAATACGTATGCACTTCACCCATACCCAACCCATTATCAATGGGTCTACTTGGGTTTGGGTATAATTACCCATGGGTGGGTAATTTGCCATCCCTACTTCGAGCCAAAATAAAATACTTATCCTTTCTACGAACTAAGTTTGACCTCTGGTCCGACTTAATTGTTATCACTCAACCGTGAGCTTAAATGATGAGAACTTTGGTTTCTGCAACTAAGTTTGAGCTATGATCCGACTTAACTTTTACCACTCAATTTTTAAATAAACTTGTTGCTGAGGGTACGAGTAGTAGTTTATGGACATTTTGATATTTAAGATTCGAGTCAGAGTCTATATAATATAATTTAGTCAATTGTTAGGAAATAAATGAAAAATCTGCCAAAGAATCGTTAGAATTATCCATCTTATCTCTAAATTTTTTCAAGAACCCTAATTCTCAATTCTGTCTAATTCTCCTCTCATTGGTGCTATAAGGTTTTGCTTTTATGGTACAACTTGAAATTGTACCTTTAACGTTATGATAAAACTTTAGATTGTACTTATACTTTTTGTACAAATTCTTTTATGGTACAACTTGAACTTGTACCTTTATGTGATGGTACAACTTCAAGTTGTAAAGTTGTACCACAACATAATAGTAAAAATTTCTTTATGATACAACCTGAACTTATACATAGGGGTGGCCGTTCGGTTACCGGTTACCGGTTAACCGGCCGGTTAAACCAATAACCGGTCGGTTATCGACTAACCGGTAACCGAAGTAACCGAACTTCGGTCGGTTATCGGAGGCTAGACGATATGGTTTTTGGTCTTAAAATTGGGTCGGTTAACCGATAACCGAGATAACCGAGAAACCGAAGCCTATTTCGGGCGGTTTTCGGTAGGGGGAGTGGTTATTTCGGTTAACCGATAACCGGCCGATCGGTTATAACCGAAATAACCGAAAGGCCACCCCTACTTATACATTTAACATTATGGTACAACTTTAAGTTGTACATTAAAGCAACAATACTTTATAGCATAGTAGAAGTGCTCTTTAAACTCTATCTTGTTACGTCGATTCGGGTGTCCAAGATGATACCTACAAACACTTGCAAGTTGCAAGGACGAAATGTATATATTGTTTTAATTTCTTAGGCTAGGATCAATTTTGGATTTTCTCAATCCGCAACTTGTACGTCATTTACAAAATGACTAAATTGAATCATTATATCCCAAACGATATTAGATAGAGCATAGTCAGGTGAAAATGCGGGCAGAGGTTTAATAGTTGCTCCTCCAATCACCCATTCTAAAACTGAATATGTTTGTAAACCAAAACAAACTAGAACTTGTTTCAGCAAAAGCATAGCATAAGTTCCAGTCCATAGTTAATTAGCCATCACATCTCTAATCTCGGAAGCTAGATGTGTATATATATAAACCTTAATTAAGGCCTAAGGTGCAGTAATTAGCAGGAGCGTGTGGGCCAGGCGCTTGAGGGAGCGATGGAGGGGCAAAGTTGACGGGAAAAAGGAAGAACATTAATGCAAAAGAGAGGTTTACACAGTAGTGGTAAGAAAGAAACAAAGAGCAACCCTAAGACACTGTTTCTCTTTCTATCCTTTCTCCTTCTCACAGTCTCATTTATCAAGCTGGGTGGTGCTGATTAAAAGAGAGAAGAAGAAAAAGGAAAATCATAAAACCCAACAGAGAAAGGAAAGAAATAATACAGAAGAGAGAGATATATCAGCTGGGTTGCGTAGCTGAGGTTAAAAAGCAAACAAGATACCCTCTCTCTTCTCTCTATCTTCTCCTATCTCAAGAGATCTCAAAACTGATAGATCGAAAAATGGAAAGAAATTAGCAGACCACCCAACCAAGAAATTCTCATCTTTCCATTAGCTATAGCTTGAAAGGAAGCTTGTTTCCTTGCTTCTTCTCTTTAGCTTGATAGGGGGTCCTTTTTTGTTGGATCCTTTAAGATAAGACTCTCTAGGGTTTCTACCCTATAGATCTTTCTTTCTTCTCCCAAGAATCATCAGCGTTTCTCTTTGCTTGGGTTGTTTCACAAATTTGGTTTGGATTTCACCACTGAAACCTGAAAGCAAGCAGAGAAATCAGCTGCTTGTTGTTTAAAGAAGAGGAGCTAGCTTGGAGCAACCACAACACAAAAAGGTATAACCTACAAACAAAATATAAGAACTTTGAATTGTTGTTGACATAAAAGGTCATTACTTGATCAAATATATTTTCCTCTTTTCCTTGTAGGTTAAAGGTTCTTCAAAGGCTGCAAACCCAAAAAAGAAAAAATAAGGAAAAAGAAAAAAAAAAGGGAATTCAGATATTTGCAGAAGCAGCTAGCTGAAGAAGGAGAAGAAGAAAGGCAGATATATATGGGGAGGGGGAGAGTGGAGCTGAAGAGGATCGAGAACAAGATAAACAGGCAGGTGACTTTTGCAAAGAGAAGGAATGGATTGCTGAAGAAAGCTTATGAGCTGTCTGTACTTTGTGATGCTGAGGTTGCTCTCATCATCTTCTCCAACCGCGGCAAGCTCTATGAGTTCTGCAGTACCAATAAGTAAACACCTCTTCATTATTCCTTCTTCGTCTTCTACTCGTTCTCTCTCATCTCAATTTTTGTCAAAGTTCTCCTCTATCTTCTTCTGCTGTTGGATCTATTTGTGGATCGATCTATGCTTACTCCTGGGCTTGTTTTGCTTTTGGTTCCTGTCCATGAAATCTTAGCCTAACTTGGAACCCTTTTCCTTTTCTCACTCCAGTACTTGTTAGATCTATCATAAATCCGTGGTTACTTATTAGATGCAAGGTAATTATGGGAGAATTTAGATGGTTTCCAATGCTGGCCCCATCCAATTATTGCACATAAACATCTAAATATTGTCCATAATTATCATCCGTACTTGTGAGAGATACACTTAATTATCGATGTTCTAATCAAACATGGAAAAAGGGGGGCTCTTTTCCCTTGTTCTTGAAGGGAAGAAAGAGTATTTGATAGAAGTTGGTTGATGTTGTAATGATAAACATGGGGAACAATAACATGGGAACTTGCTAATACCCTATGTGTCAATGGGGTGTGCAAAGAGAAAAAGGAAAATGGGAAAGAGGGTCAGAGAATGCAGGCAGCTGGGTGTGATCTTAGAAGTCTGAGATGTGAGTTTATAAAGTGTGAGAGAGATAAATGGTCAGAGATTGATTCAGCAGTTTATCTGTTAGGCAATCCAAGGTTTCACCTTATTGATGCTGCTGCAAGTTTTCTTTCTTTCTCTCTGTGGGATCCGTAGACACAACTTTTAATAAAAGAAGGCTCATAATTGGTCGTCAAGTATCAATTACTTAACCAAACTAACAATAATGCTGATCAGTAAGAGTTTATATGGTATGTGAGACTATCTCATGCGTAGATTATATGTAGAACCAAATCAACTTAAAATTTACTATGTTTGAAAATAATCATGATATACCTCGTTCATTTGGCAAGCATATAATTAGCCTTTGTTTTTAGAATACATGTTTCTTTTACTTCATATTGTTATTCGTTGTTACATTTCATTTTAGATATTGTGTATTTTATAACTCATAATCCCATAATACAATTCAACGTGTATTATTAAATGTATTGAGTTTTTATCATTATCTACGGAACTACTAGTTCAGCAATTCTGTAAAACGAAGAATTCAGTGATGATCTATATAAATGAAGTGTAAAATATAAAGTTTATCTTTTGCGCCTAACTTAGCCTACTAGTGATTTTTTTTTTATTTCTTCCACGGATTGTCAAAAGGGGCTTCGGTCTTTTTCTATTTTTTATTTATTTTTTGGGTGGTGAAATTAGGGTGGCTTTGTTTTAACAAGGAGAATCTGTCTAGTTTGGGAGCATTGGAATCAAACAGTGGGAATGTCATTCCATCATATCAAAATAGAGAGTAACTTCTCAAAAGAAATCTAATATAGAATCTCCTATTTGTGAAAGTTTGTGCTAACTATGAAATCATAATTAGGGATTGCATGGTTAAAGAGGCTCCCCATTGCACTGTTTAAATACCACTTTAAGCCCACCTAGTTATTCAATTCACACTAGCATTCAAATGGTTAGCTAGGGTTTCATTATGAGAACAGTGTGTACAAATAGTATCTTTCTGCCATATACTATAGTTATATTGTATAGTATATAGTCATTGTGCTTTATATGTATGTTTGTACATTATAATGAAGATGTACGATTTAGTCAAGAGCAGTTTTAGTAAATAGTAATAACATAATCCTGGATATTAAATCTGGAATGATGTTGGAGGTTTCACCTTTGATTAGATTGTTTATATCGGATATTAGTATGTTTGTATCCTTTCTTTGTAATTTGAGTATCCTTGTGGTTGAATGTCATATGTTCCTGTAATTAATTTTACCAATTCTCTAATCCTTATTTCAGCATGCTCAAGGCACTGGAAAGGTACCAAAAGTACAGCTATGGGGCGGTGGAAGTGAATAAACCTGCAAAGGAGCTCGAGGTATACAGTATACTATACGTCTTATGTCTCAATCGTTGATGTGCTATAGCTATAGAAGTGAAGGATCACGATAGTGTGCCAGTACGAGCTTTGCATGGAGTTTTATGCTAATGACTTCCTGGCTACATTTCTTAATGAACAGAGCAACTATCGTGAGTACTTGAAACTGAAGGGTAGGTATGAAGGCCTACAACGAACCCAGAGGTAAAAATTAAGTCAATATAGCTAGTAATCAACAAATATATGGGGAGAAATGAGATGGTGCATTAGCAGTTCGTTTGAGACGTGCATGGTGGTTCAATGCAAAGATTTGGTTAACGATGGCGATGATGGTGGTGCAGGAACCTCCTTGGGGAGGATTTAGGCCCACTGAACACGAAGGAGCTGGAGCAGCTTGAGCGGCAGCTGGAAGGTTCATTGAAGCAAGTCCGCTCCACTAAGGTAGATTAACCATTATGTTACCAGCCAATATATATAATTTCCATGGCTACCTGTGTGAGATGGATAAGACTGAAAGTTTCTTCTTGTAGACCCAGTTCATGCTTGACCAGCTCTCTGATCTTCAAAACAAGGTAAATCTCCTAATCTCATCCTAATCCCACCTCCCAAAGCTACAAAGAAACAGGCTTGCCAAGCTGGGTACTTGGGCTTTGTCAACTTCTGGGGAAGCTCACACTTTGTATATGGTTTAATTTGACTACCAGGAGCAGCTGCTGCTTGAATCCAATAGAGCTTTGGCAATAAAGGTCGCTCTACTCTCTCTAGCTATACATTCTTTTTATACTTGTTAGAGATATTCCACATTTCTCATCACCACTCATTTGGTTGTAAAATGCAGCTGGATGAAATCTGTTCAAGGAACAGCATGCGAACTTCGTGGGAAGGAGAGGATCACAACATGTCCTATGGAGACCAACATCATAATCCACATGCCCAATCCCAGGGGTTTTTCCAGCACTTAGATTGCAACCCAACTTTGCAGATCGGGTACTCTTCATTTCAAAGGTTTTAATTCTTCATTTCACTACTATCACCTATACTTTCATTATATATGTACACCCTTCATGAGTGTGGGTTGCCCATGATATCATATGACATAGAGTTTAGACATTGAGATCTCTTGTTCAAATCTCCTACTATCATATGGTGACGATTAGACTCTATTCACAACATCATCAACTGCTGTGATTAGAAATCGTTGATTATGGTGTTCAGGATTTACCTTATAGCTTCAGTAAAGGTTCTTATCATAAAAGAACCAACTTCGTAATGGTTGTATCGTATGTATGTGACTTTGCAGGTATAGTCCAGTAGTAACAGACCACATGACTGCCACAACTCATGCTCAGCAGCAGCAGCAGCAACAGCAAGTTAATGGGTTTGTTCCCGGATGGATGCTCTAATAAAAAGCTCTCAGTAGCTTTCATATTTACTTGGAGGGTCCAAGAGGAGGGCTACTTTGGCAGCTTTGCATTCTCCCTATATAAATATTGCCTCTGGTTTGAAATAATCTATCATAAGAAGACTGCAAAACCATCTATATCGATGATGGCCTACTGCTCCAACCAAGTATTCTACTTTTTGTGGCTAGCGATCACATATGTAAATGATGATGATTTCTGCAGATAACATAAGCACGCAGCAGCTAGCGTTGTGTTATTTGTCATCTCTCTCTCTCGAACCCTTTATCTGAGAGGAAACATTCTACTATGGCGTCCAGCATTTCTTTTTTAAGCCATCTTCACTGGTGTAAAGTAAGCTGCAAAGCAACAACCTTTGATGGTCTGTTGTGTATCATTATGAACTATTGTAAACAGACTTTGATTCTACGGTAGACATTTTCTATCTTACATGTTTCCAAGCTTGTATGCAGGCAGTGATATATGTTTGGTCTGGATTTAATTATATTGAATCCTACGCTCAAACAATTAGGCCATTTTCTGCATAAATGTAATGACAAACCATCGCTAATCTTTTGAACGGATGTTTCTGTTGGTAATATCCGCGCGCCATTTGACTTCTCCATTGTCCACTTTTGTTTGGATGGATCAATGAAATGAAAGTGCTATGTACAACAAGATCATCAATGGTGAAATTAGGCGTAACATATCGAGCAGGAAAATGGTATTTATTTCTTGCAAGGAGTTGTCTGGTTGTGGATGGATGCAAGTAGCTACATATGACAAAAAGAGAGAATAGTGTTGGCAATCACATAGTTACCATTGACCAATTGATTTAATTAGGGCTAGTTTAGATGTTGGATTTGGAGAATGAACGAATGTAATAAAATTTTGGATTTGAGAAAATTATATATTAGTAAATTTTATCATATGGGCATTGGATTTAGGTTTGAATGACTTACAAGATGTAGGCAAATTAAAGTGGTACAAAATTTAAGGATTTGTCAACATCCACTTCAAGATGTGAGTTTATTGCAAATTTGGTACTTCAAATTTTGATGCGCAACCATGGATTTGAAATATTTCACAATCTCTTAATAAGGGTTTAAAAGAAAAAGGACGAAATTGCATAACAATAAGAGATGAAATTAGAGATCTTGATTGTGTAACACAATTTAAGAAATTTATATTTTAATAAATCGTGCGGTGGACTTACACTGGTATCTAGATTTTAAAGGTGTCTCAATTTGTCAAAAAATCAAAGGAGTGAGCAATGTTGGCACTCACATAATTACATTGACCATAAGTGATTCATTTAGTGAGGCTTGAGTAGAAAGTAATAAAATTCTATAATTGTAAGATTATAGATTTATTCATCAATCATAATTTGTGATCGTAAATAAGGGTTACAAACTCATATATGGACATCCCTAAACTCCTCGAATTATTGAAAACAATAAATAGTAATAAATTAAGAAGTTTACATTTTCGTTGTAATAATTCCAAAGGAAAGGAATAACTGCGTTGAAATTTCCAAGAGATTAAACTTTTTTTTACCTTGCATTTGATCCAAAAAAATTGCATAAGTCTTCCTTTTTTTTTTTTTTTTTTTATGTATTCAGACTTCTGCCAATATGGTGACTTAGCTGATGGATCGGGTAACTATAGAATAATGCAGTGGGTCACAAGTCCAACATCACTGCCAACCTAGAAACCAAATTTAATAAGACAAAGAAAATGTTGGGCATCACACCTTTTATATATGGTCAATGAAGTTTATTAACTTAATTATGGATGCTCTAGTGGGAGAGCTAGCTAAGCTACTACTCCCTATAAAACAAAGAACCATTAATGATAGTCAAAGATGAATGAGCTCATACTTGCCATTAATTGTTAATTAATCATTAATTAATAGCATTTTGTACTCTTCAAATTTGTCAAATTAACAAACGTACCTCTATACTAAATTTTTGCACAAATATACCCTTCTAATATTAAAACGTAACTAATATATCCTTTCGTCTAATTATATATTAAGTTACCGTTGAATGGATTGTAAAATGACACAATTGTCCCTCATTGAATCCTAAACACACCTAATTTTAATTTTTAATTATTTTAGATCCCAAATCAATTAATTAAAAAATAAAGCCACTAAACAAATTCACACTCAATCGATCAGAGATCATCCAACTCTCCTTGCTTCTTCCATCTGGTTGCATGGCTCTTCTGATCAGGGCACTTTTTGGGTGGGATCTCCGATCACTTACCTAGCCCAACTTGATTTGGTAGAGAGACATGAGCTGATAAAGTACCAGGGTGCTTTTCATCAGAATTAAGCAGCAAACAATCAATCCGAAGATTGATTGAACTCGAATCAAGAACAATGTGTTCTTAATACGCAATTGGATAAAACGGAACCAACAGACAATTCCACACTTGGGGAAAGCTTATATGGTATAAAAGAGTAGTTGCTCGACCACGATTGAAGAGACTATTCAAACGATACACAAGCTCAGCAAGTTTGGAATCCACCAAACCCAACACAAGTTGTAATGTGCAGAAAACCGAAGTTTTCAATTCAATTGATCAATCTCTAAGTTTTACAATGAAACAAGACGTTTAAATAGGCCTAGCTAGGGTTACACACGTCCTCATCAGTCCTAATTACAATCTAATACAAAAATGAACTAAAAAGTAGCAAAAGAACCTAATCCTAATTGAACTAGGAAAACTAATTTTGTTTTACAACGGCAGAATTCTGTGACTTCAGACGATTTTTGAGTCCTTCGTTCGAGGCCTTCCAGATATCCATTTCTTCATCCAATGTCTTTTCTTTGTAGAAAAACATACCTTCTTTCAAGTGATAGAAGCTTCTGGACTCGACTGCCATCCATTCTTCTCGAATTAAGCTCCAAAGTAGGCTTCACAGTCATGTTTTCTGCCTTAGCCAAATTCTGACAGTTTTTCTGTGTTGACAGAGGATTTAGGTGAGCTTGTAAAATGACTTTCTGGCCTTGAGCTCACACTAACATAGCCTCCAGCTGGGTAATTGGCCACTCCGATAGTGAATCGATAAAGGAGACCCAGACTTGAGTAATCGCACTATCCTAGCCTATTGACCATTCTCTCTACTCCAGTCGCCGGCGAGGAGATTCCGGAGCAGGCGCCGCCGCCGCCGAGTCGAGGGCTAGCGGAGAGTTTAGGGGAGACAGACGATATATGGTGTGAATTAGTTTAGGGTTTGAGTTTTTTTTAATTAAATAATTTCATACATAAAATAATTAAAATCAAAATTAGGTGTGTTACGAGTAGATGAGGGGCAATTGTGTCATTTCACAACCCTTTAACGACCACTTAACAGATAATTAGACGGATGGGTGTATTTGTTACATTTTAATATTAGAAGGGTATGTTATTTACTTGTTATACATTTCTTAAATTCTGGTTCTTCGTGAATGGATTAGTGATCTATTTGTAAGTTTATCTTCTATAGAAAAAAATATGAATGATAATTTGACTCCTCCATCTTTTTAGAACATTTTGTAGTTTTTATTGATTGAATACTTAATTTGTTTCATCTTCATAGGAACCGAATCAAATCATGCATTAGTGATCGGTTTAGTCATCCTAACTAAATGGGCCCCTTGTGTTTACTAAGCAAAACCCCTAACTTCTAATAACTGACTCCTAATGCCTACTAATTGACTCCTAATGCTACGGTTGGAATTTTGAATGGCGTGAATGGAAATAAAAGGGAAAAGAGTCAAGAGAAGCTCTTGAAGTACCCACGTTGGTAAGATGTGAGAAGACGCAACCTTGAATTCGGTTGATTTGATGTAATATGTTGATAATTGGTTAAAATGGTGTGTGTAATCAATCAGACCAAACCAAACCGAGTTGAATTGAATCAAACCGAACATATATGGTGGTTGGAATAATCCAACCGGTCCAAATTTTCATGGTTCGAACCGATACAATGGTTGATAAACTTTAAACGAACCATGCATTGCTATGGTTGGAGTATAATCACCCACCTGAAGAGTTGCATCCCTTCGTATGCACCCTTCACTTTCTATAAATATATAGAACCAAACTCCTATGATTTTAGCGATAAGAAAATACGATTTCAATGGAAACTAGAGGGGAATAAATATCGGTGACTCTTACAATTTGAATGCCTTATCCCTACCAATTAGGAAGACCACTAACGTCTCATAAGTAATATCATCAATGTTTACAAACGAACAACTCAAAGAATAGTAATCGATGACCACCACTGCTTAACATCAGTAATTACTACTCCACTAAGTTTCTTGATGCAACACTAGTTTTTGGCAATCGCATTGATATGTGACTTTAAACTTTAAAGGGTCCAAATTTTAACTTCCTATCACTGCCACTATTCAACTTCAGTCCATTAGATCAAAGCTCAAAACCCTAACATCATATGTCCATGAGCGACTTAGTCATGGTGATTAAGGCACAATGCTTAAATTGGATCCATCATCCATCTCAACTTTCACAGACTGGCATCCACTAGCTTGACACTTCATTACCAAAATGATTTGGATCCAATTTACCCAAATCCCTATGTATTATATACACTAGAAAATCAAATACCGCCTTTTCACTATCCGGCCATCTGCCCTATCTCTGTTTTTCTCTGTGGTTCTTTCCTTAGGCTCATCAACATACAAACTTGATTGCCACCACAAACAATTGCAGAGAAATCGCACTCAATCGAAAATGGGGAAAATTCCAATCAAACACAGGCCCTCTCTGCAAATTAACAACCATATCTTAGCCCACCACTACACAAATACAAAATCCCAAAGAACATATTCGTTTCAGATGGCTACTCTGCACCTAAAGTTCAAATCTTTGGACTCATTCACTTAGCACCCTTACAATCCTTCCAACAATATGCTCCTAATTCAACCCCATTTATAACCCTTTGTCCACTAATCCTTCATTAACCCTCTAAACCAAATCAAACCCATCTCTCTAATTACTCTCCCTCGCTCTCTAAACAATGATCCCATCGCCATTGCAGAAGCCAGATGTTACCTTGTCCCTCACGCTATCACCCTCCTCTGTCTCCGGTCCGGCGAGCACTGCCCGAGAGACTCCCGAAGGCAGAGGGATCCGGCTCATCGAGCTCCTCCTCAAATGCGCCAACCACGCCTCGACACCTGGCGCCAACGACCTCGACCGAGCCGACGCGTGTCTTTCCCAGATATCGGCGCTCGCCTCTGTTTCCGGGGACTCAATGCAGCGGCTGGCGGCCCACTTCGCCTCCGCACTCGCCACGCGCCTCCTGATCAGGCGATGGCCCGGGATCTACAGAGCCGTCAACCACACGCGCCGCTGCCGTTTTCCGGTCGTTGATGACATCGATTCCGCGGCGCGTGCCCTGTTTTCCCAAGCCTTCCCTTACCTCAGCTTCGCCTACGCCATTATAGCCCGAACTTTGCTTCAAGTCATGACCCACGAGCGGGTCGTCCATCTCGTCGACCTCGGGTCGGGGGATCCGAAGCTTTGGGTTCCCTTGCTCCGTAGCTTCGCCCGGCTGTCCAATGGGCCGCCGCATTTGAAGGTGACTTGTGTGTCAAGCAACCGAACCGTGCTGGAGAAGTTAGGGCATAGGCTGGTGAAAGAGGCAGAGGTTCTTGACCTCCCTTTCCAATTCATTCCCTTGAATGTCGCCGTTCAAGACCTCACACCGGGTTTGCTCAAGATCCGAACCGGTGAGGCTCTCGCGTTTATCTCCATACTAAACCTCCACACTTTTCTAGCTGATGATGATGACGATCATCATAGATTCAACGCTAGTTATGATAACGATAACGAGATTAGAAATGGCAAGCGATTGAGTACATTTTTGCTGATGATACGGTCGATGTCTCCCAAAGCGTTGTTTGTTGTGGAGCAGGAAGCGGACCACAACTCTATTCGGTTGGTGGACCGATTTGTTGATGGGTTACATTACTATAGTGCGGTTTTCGACTCGATAGATGCAACATTTGGGAGTACTGGGTCGACTAACGAGCAGGTAGAGGGACGGATTATGGTGGAGGAGATGTTTGGGAGGGAGATTGAGAACATGGTGGCATATGAAGGGCTGGATAGGGTGGAGAGGCATGAGCGATTCTCGAGATGGGCATTGAGGATGACTCGAGTTGGTTTTCGACCGGTCCGAATGTGGTACAACTCAGATGAAGATGCCAAGCAAATGGTAGGTGCTTTTGGGAAGGAAGGGTATAAGATTGTGAGTGATAGAACAAGTATGATGATTTGCTGGCATGATCGTCCTTTGTATGCTGTCACTACATGGACAAGTTGATCGATTAATTAATTTTGTCATTATATTACGGAAATAATTATATAACTAGATCATAAGTACACGTCTTGTTTTCTAACGGTCATTTTGCCCAATTGTATCTTGGAATCAAGGTCCAAGGTTGTAAGAAAGTTTAGGATGTGTCGTAGGTTCCAAGTGGGAAATGGACAGCTACATAACCCATTATAAATTTCCATGCTTGTCATTTTCATATATGTTTAAAAAACCAGCCGATTGTCCGGTTCTACCCCAAAATTTGTCCCAACACATCCACCACAATGTAACATTAGAGAAGTGAGAAGTTTACTATCCAAAGTTTATCAGGCGTTGAACTGTTACGAAACCATAATCAGTATTTACAGTGCTCATTCATTATCATGTGAAGGACTGCCGGATGAGAGTAAACATGCTGCAAAGGTGCCATGGTTCTTGCTGTTACACTTGATTGGTTTTCAGTCCTTACAGAAGTACAGGAAATCACAGGATAAGCATACATTTGAGAAGAGAACCGAGGGAGAGCTGATAAACTATCAATTGTATCACGAAAAGGCAAGGTAAAGAGGGAGAACGAATCTGCAGTAGGCTCTCACTCCTCTCTTGAAGCAGGGTCCATTCCAGTTGAAGGGCTATCAGCAAAATATTCTTGATGCTTAACATTAACACCATACTGGCCACCAAAAGACACAAGCAACAGTCAGGAATTGCATGCTGTGGAACGAATTCAGTCAACACATGACATCATGCAGAAAGAGAACATGTCTCAATAACCTTCAGCTTTTAACGACAAAATTGTCAAAATCAGTTTCGGAAATCTCTTCCAGAAGAATTTTTCCAGTCAACATTTTGGATAGAGGAAATGGGACGTGCGGCAATGACAATACGACACAATTGTCAAAATCAGTTTCTGAAATCTCTTCAGAAGAACGTCTCCAATCAACATTTTGGATAAGAGGAAATGGGACATGCGACAATGGCAATGCCTACCTCACGCAGAGCCCTTGAAAGATCCTCCATTGTCAAGACGAGCCTCTTGTCCTGTTGAGACGATAAATTAGCACGGAAGGAAGCTATAAGATCCTAGCAACGAACAAAAGTAAGAACCAATGTGTTTGTCACACCTTTGCCTGCTTATCCTTTTTGTCCTTAACTACTGCTGCTGAGCGTGCCTTGCAATGCCTGCACAGAAGTCGTAAAAGTTATAACTATCAACAGAAAGAGTAAAAAATCTCCCCTCCACTTGAAGATCAAGAAATAGGTTTCCAGTAAAATCACATAAGTGAGACAATATGGAAATCATACCTTCTTTTAACAGATTGCACAAGTGCTGAATCACTGCATTTAGAAGCTAAGCTTCTTGCAAAGTTTTCAGCACGATATTTAAAGTTCACCCTAACTTCCAGATATTCATTGTGTCTCGGAATTCATATTCATAACTAGCAGCAGTCATTAAATCATTATACATCGTGAGACATAAACAAAACAAAACATTTATAAACAGTCCTAAACGAAGAGAAGCAATTCACAAGTTGAGACTGAATCAAAATGTTAATTAAGTAATAATATAATACAGGGGCATCTGCACTATTTCTGAAGTAACTGCTGTCAATACCATGAAAGCCTAAGCCACAGCCAAAGATTGAAAGGACACTGGAAATTCCATGCTCCTAGGTCAAACGCTTGAACAAGTGCAACCAAATACAAGTAGAAAACATATATATGTTGCTTGACACAGAGGTGGTCTATAGTTGAACAGTTGAGCAAAATGAAAAGGAGAAAAATTAGGGAAGAGAATGAAAACTGGATTTTTGAATGCAGACATCAAAGCTAGGTTACTTACTGCAGAGCATCACTGGCAACATCAGCAACAAACTTCTGAGTTGCAACGGCAACCAATCTGATTCTGAAAATAGATAGCACGTCAAGTAAGAGAAATGCCAACGTCACAAACTGAGGTCGTGCATTTTTATCGGGAAAATATGTTATCGAGAATCACATTCTAAAGGAACAAATCTATCCATAGACATCTCCCAAATGCAACAAACAAATCTACAGATACACGATTTCGATTAAACCATCAAACCAGGGTATCAATAGTATGCACACAAATGATAAGCAATAAAAAGCATCATCAGCAGAAAGACTAAAGCCAAAAGGACAGCAGAACAATTCGTGAACAGTTCACCAGTTCTCCTAAACGTATCCTGATACCCTAATCGGCTTCGTAATGTCATGAGTTTATCCGACTAAGATTGGTATCACTTGATGCAATCTCTCGTCGCAAGATGAGCCTTACTGAACCACATTACTAAGCAAAGCAATTGGGGCATAGTTGATCACTGAAAACCCTAAGGCAAGGAAACTGGGCGAAAAGATTAAGACTTTGAAGAGAAACCAGCAAAAAGAAACAAGAATCAAAAGGAAAACGAAGAAAGCCCTAAACAGCAGAAATTGAAGACGAATTGTCAAAAGGGAATCTTAGCAACACCAGTGAAGAGGGTGAGAAGGAGTACGGACGTACAATCGAACGTCGGGAGAGTGAAATCCGCTCTTTCCAAGGAAATGCTCCACCAATTCGTCGGGAATCTGAGGGGAAAAAAGATAAAGCGTTGGTTACAGAAGGAAGAGGAATTAGAGCAGAAATTCAATGGGGTTGATGAAAAGGGAGTCAGGTAAGTCACCGTGGGAGTATAATCCATTAAGGAAGAGAGGAATTCCGCGAGCACTGCGTCATCGTCGTGTCGCCTTCCATCGCCGAGCTGCTGCTGCTGCTGGTTCATGTCTCCTCCCTGTCGCGTGGTGTTGCAGTTAATTTTCTTTTATTGTACTGTTTTATACGAAGCGGGCGAGACGGTACTTTCCCGGGTTAACCAGCATCATCACTTAAGTTTCAACTAGTGATGAAATAGTTCATAAACTTCATAATGTCACAAAAATGGTCACTTAGTTTTAGAACAAGCTAGATATGAACGATCCACTTGGTCCGAGAAATCAAAATTAAGATTTCAAGCTCTTTATAACTTTAAAATCAATTAATCGAATGACTAAAGTGGTAAATCACTCATTAAATCGATACCGTGTTTAAACAATACAATTTTTGAAATGTTTGGGAATGTGATTCTTGTAATATTGTTACCATCGAGTCGAGGTGTTTCCTGGATGCTTTTGTACAATTTGTATTTTTCATGTTAGGATTTGAAAATATGCAATTAAATTGTGGTCATGCATGTATGAAATTTGTGTTCTTCGAAAATTCACGTGTGCTTGTTTCTGATGATGCTCGTAAGCGGTAATAATTCGAAACCTGACTCGAAAATTTTAGAGTGAATCGGTATTTACACCAAAATCAACCAACCTGATATCACCGGACAACTACGCGAAGTTAATCGTAAACCACTCAATCCTACTCAATTGGCAGGTCTACTTGATTTTCACCTTATGACAAACGTTACAAATCGATCACTTAACTTTGAAATGTCACAAAGTGCTCACTAAACTTTTCGGGTTTTAACAAAATGGTCATTGTTATCGTCATCTTTATCTTTATGTTTCTCTTATCAAGTTATGAATATTTAGTCGCCTAACTTTGTTTTCATCTAAATTTTGTTTCCACGCTGATGAAAGATACCTTCCATGCTTTAATTAGTTCCGTCTGTGCTCTAATTATGTTAATTGATCTGTATGAGTTGAGCCTCGTGGCTTTTCCGTTGAAACGACAAGTGTTTCATGTTTGCATATCAACTTATAAAGTCATATATGATCAAGTTTTTCTTATGGTTTCTCTTTTGCCATGAGTATAGAACTAGTTGTATAACGTATTCACAATTGCATAATTTCACCTCTAAACTTGAATACATAGATGCATTTCTTATAGTATGTATGACAACTTTTACAAAATTAAAATGTGGTATATGTTAGTCTCTCATAAGAAAATCTCTTCTTGAACTTATTAGACTTAGTTGGTTTTTAATACCGTCTGTTAGAGTCCTTAATCTATAAAAGCCGCTAAACCATTACAACCTATATTAACACCAATCCATGTTTAAGCACAATATATATTAGCATTTGTACAAAATTCAACCCATGAGATAAAAAAATATATAATAAGGCAGATGAAAAAGGAATTCAACCACAACAACAATTTTATTATTGCAAATCTCATAATCAAGACTTACACACATAATAAAAAAAAATTAGGAAGTGACATGAACTCATAAGATGGACCAATAACTATCAACTTCTCATCTCCCAAGTGTGAAGAAAAAAACAAAAATGAACAAAGGAACAAAGAGAGGGAAAAGCAAACAAAAATTGAAACTAATTAATCAATGAAATTAAGCTTTTTTGCCCTTATTGGCCGCCCCGGTTGGGTTAAGCTCGTCCCATGCATCAATCCAAGTCACCATGGCATCAGCCAGCTTATCAAAGTAAGGATCAATCTTGCCAAGCTTGTCCTTCACCATCTTGGCTAGCTCAATATAACACTTCTGAACAGTTGTGCAATCCTTTGGAAGTGACACAGCTTGGAAGAATGGGATGATCTCTTCTTGCCAGAAGATGCCCTTGTACTCTTTCCTCAAGTTTACAAATGGGTTGCTGGCTTTGCTGTGGTAGATGTATGGAAGACCAGTCTTCACCCCCAGCCCTAGGTGATCACAAATCACCTAGAATATACATACAAACATTAGTTCGATGACGCAAAAACCTAGTATGAGGAACCACTTTGAGACATACTAGTTTGATATCACTAATAACAGCGTTATGCATCTAGTACTACGAGAAAATTTTGATAGATTGATCGTACCTTGATACACCAACCAGCCCACATATCATCGTAGCGACCAATCGGCTGGCCATCGCCCATGAGACCAAAGTACATTGCAGGGCCAATCAACTCACGATGGAAGGCCAAATTCATACCACACATTGGGAACAAGGTGCCCTTAGGAATTGTCATCACAGCATCCACATACCTAAGCATTAGCAAATTAAGCACATGTATGCAATCTTTATCTCAATCAGTAATAACGACAATATGACGAGAACCAGTTGATCTCACATACCTAGTGTTCCTCTCAAGAGGCTTGACGAGTTGAGTAGGTGCATCGTAATCAGGAATGTTCAACCATAGGCCATGGGAAACAGCAGTTGGGACACCCTCCCTAAGGCTGAAAGGGTATCCTCGAACGAAATCAGCTCCTTCTCTGAAAGGGTCGTATAGGGTATTGAAGAAAAATGGAGTTGAGGGGCAGAGCAAGTTCTTGATGTGTTGCTCGAGAGCATTGATTGCCTTTCCCGAAGGATCCTTGGCGACCTTTAATCAAATAAAACACATGTATATTTCCAACTAGTACATTAGTGAACCCATAGTACTATATAAAAAATAATTATTTACAATCTCAAATCTAACTTTAACCCATGAAGATAGGAAATAAAGTTAGTTACAGATGATCTCGATTTAGTAGTTCTAGATCAGGTCCTGAAATCGCCTATTTTTTCGCTCAAATCAATTATACAAATGCATATATAACATGTTACATGAGCTAGCCACGGAATTAATATAATCAGCATCGGCCCATAAAACATTAAATCTTATTTTTTTCATAACAATTCAAGATCATTATGAAAATAAAAAATAATTCGAAAAGAAAAATAAATAAAAAATCTCAAACTTACAAAGCAATCGTCATCAATGGTGAAGATGTACTTCTTCTTGGACACCATATAACCAAAGCAACGACACGCAGAGTCTTTGAATGAGATACACGAGGCCTTAGGGCCGAGAATCTTGTTTATATCATTCCGATTGTAGAGCTCATAGTCGAAACCATCAGGAACCTTGATGGTCTTGGTAGGATCACCATCCTGAACAATGATCAAGTGGTAAGGCTCAAAGAACGGCCTCCACATCTCCAAGAAATCCAAGTTTCTAATGGTTGGGATCACAATGTCGAGCTCATCTTTCAACAAAGCGACCGTTCTCACAGCCGACTTTGTATCGGTTGCTGGCTCGACCATTGTTGACGTTGTGCAGTTTTGGGAGATGAAAAACTAGAGCAAGTTTGAGCCAAGAGGAGATAAATTGATGGAGTTTTGGGTACTAAGGAGATGTAGCTATAAGATATTGTTCAAAGGAAGTTTATATATATGGGAAGAGAAGGCGTGAAATGTGGCAGAATTATAAGGAGAAGGCGTTGAAGTGTTGGAAGGAACTGTTCAAAGACAACACAATTTTGGAGAGCAAAATGCTCTCATTGCCAAACAACATCATAGACTTTTTCAGTTTTCTCTTTGCCTCGTTTTCTTTTGTAACAAATGCAATAAACCCTTATCATTAATAATGTCTTTTTTAACTTTATGTTTTTTTTTATAATAGTCTTTTAATATATATTATGTTGTCTAACATAAATATCGATGTCAAGAGCGTTGATAGAGAATGCGCATGTATTCGTGCTGATGCTATTGAATTTATAACGTAATTGACTTAATTAATAACTTGTGCGAAACTATAATAAAATTAATGCATTCGTCTTCGATATCCCCTCAACAACTAATTGTAGCTTCTCACTATTAATTGTATCATTGTCAAATTCATGTTCTTTAACAATATGTTATTTGGTTGTTTTATGATACATTGGATATTTCGGGAATTATTGGGGCCAAATCGGTTAGGTGAAGTCTTTGGATAGTTATAGGGAATTAGTCGGATTATATATATTATGTGTTAGGCATAAGCTAGGGTTAAGCAATAACAACAGAATTATTCCCTAAACTCCTCTCTCTCTCTCTCTCTCTCACTCAACCACCGACCCCCTTCCTCCTCTCTCAACCATCGACCACCACCTTGGTGCCCCGACCTCCTCTCCTCTCAACCCTAATTCCCATTATAGCTCACCCAAATCTTCCAATTCACGTATCAATCCAATCCCTAAATCGCACACCTAGGTTCGTGCTCTTTCAGTGGTATCAGAGCCTGGTTGGTGTGCCGATTTTCTGAAGAATACTGAAATCCCGAAGATGGCAAGCTCGACGGACAAGCCGCAACCGCCGCGCCAGAACAAGGAGATTGTGACGATCAAGGATGTGACGACAAACAAATATGATGCGATAGCAGCGTCATTGGAGAGCCTGAAGGAGGTGACTGAGAGGGCAGCGGACGCCTCGAAGGGTTCGATCGGTGTAATTGAGGCAATAGGAGACCAGATCAAGGCATCAATCTAAGAGATGGGCAAGAGCGTGGCTGAGAATATTTGCGGGGCACTCGCAGCGATGATGAAGGATGTTTTGAACCAGGTTCTCAGGAGCTGTGAGAAACCGACAATCGCGACCACAACAGGATCGCCGGCGCCGGCAGCGGAGAGGGTCGCAAGGCTGGTCGGCGACGAGGGAGCCGAGGCGAGCTGGCGGCGGTCAGGGAGAAGTCGCCGATCGGCGGCGATGGAACAGGGGCGGTGCTCGCGGCGGCGATGGTGCGAGGGCAGCGATGGCGGTCGCCGCGGAGCTGGGGGAGGCCAAACCGACCGGAAAGGGAAGCGCGCCGGGAAACTTCATCGGGCCACGCGACCGTGTCAGCGAGGAGGGTGACCAGGGCGCGCTTGGCGCGCCCGAGCCAGTGTTCAGCGACCTAGGCCTACTGTCGACACCAACTTCCCTAGAACATGACAAGGCCCAGGGAAAGAAAAAGATGGTCGGGTACGAAGGTGAGCCGTGGCCGATTGGGCAGGAAGGAGATGACCCATGGCCGATTGGGCCCGGGGAAGACGATGAGCTTAGTTTCGCAGGCCAGGAAAGATGGATGGACCTAGGCCCAGAGGAGGCGAGACTGGGCTGGGTATCAGACCCCAAGTCGGGCCAAACCAGGCCGACCACCGACTGACCAACTGGCCGAACCGAAATCGGTCGAACTGGGTCGGGTCACCGACCAGCGGACAGCAGCTGAAGCGCACCGGGCAGGGGCTTCGGGAAGGCGCTGGAGTATGGGTATCCCCCGTGGAGTACCCTGCGAGCAGGGGAGGGCGAGGCCGAGGCTGTCGGGAAGTCGGGCAAGGATTTGGGACCAAACCAGAGTACGGCAGGAACAACCAGGAGATGACAGGTGACTGGCCCTACTCTTAACAGCAGTGAGCCGAGGGAAGCTACTACCATAGTGGCCTGATGAATCAACAGCCACCACCAAACACATGCAGGTATGGATACAGTAACCCCCTGTATAATGCTGAGGATGAACTGGTGTTTAGAGCTAAACCACCGGTGATAGAGTTTCCCAAGTTCGATGGGTCTGGAGATGTGGGATTATGGCTTTATGCAGCAGAGAGGTGGTTCAGGAACCATCCGATCCGAGAAGAGCGGAAGGCGCACCTGACGTCCTTCTATCTTGGGGGAGATGCTCTTCCGTGGTGGGAATGGACCGAGAGAGCTTACGCGGAGGCAGGTGATGTCATATTGTGGGCCAGGTCCTAGGACGAGCTGCGCTATCAGTTTGGCAAGGCAGAGGGGTGCGATCCGGAACAGCTCGCCAAGCTCAGACAGACGGGTTCGGTGGCCGAGTATCGCGCAAAGTTCCTTAAGCTGGGAAACCAGTGCAAGGAAATGATAGAGGAGACCTTGGTGGGATTGTGCATGGCGGGGCTCCGTCCCAAGCTGGCAACAGCCGTGAAGGTTTTTGAACCTGACTCTCTTCGAGTTGCTTTCAGGATTGCAGGGCGCAAGGAAGAGGAGTTGGCCAGCTGGAGGACCTCGACGAGGCGCATTCAGAAGGCCAATGGAGGCGTCGGAGCTGGAGCAGCGAGTACCACACCGTCGCCGAGAAATGCAAGCCCGGTAGCCACTGGAGCTGCACCGGGGAGCAGGTTTCCTTCAAGACTCCCGCCAAAAGGGTTCGTCAGGTTAACCCAGGCAGAAATGGACCAGAAGTGCAGGGATGGCTGTTGTTTCAACTATGACGAAAGGTACACGGTGGGACACCAGTGCGCCAAAGGACATCTGATGCTGCTCGTCGAAAACTTGGAAGATGAAGGCGAGGACGTGCAGGCACGGGAGGCGGAAGGAAAGAAGGAAGAGAAGAAAGAAGGTCCACCTTGAGGGCAAGGTGGGTTTCAAGGGGGATGGAATGTCAGATACATGTTCTTTGGGGGTTTAATTGTTATTTGGTTGTTTTATGATACATTGGATATTTCGGGAATAATTGGGGTCAAATCGGTTAGGTTAAGTCTTTGGGTAGTTATAGGGAATTAGTCGGATTATATATATTATGTGTTAGGCATAAGCTAGGGTTAAGCAATAACAACAGAATTATTCCCTAAACTCCTCTCTCTCTCACTCAACCGTCGACCCCCTTCCTCCTCTCTCAATCGTTGGCCACCATCTTGGTGCCCCGACCTCCTCTCCTCTCAACCCTAATTCCCATTCTATCTCACCCAAATCTCCTAATTCACGTATCAATTCAATCCCTAAATCGCACACCTAAATTCGTGCTCTTTCAATCATCAATCAATAAAACATTTTTTCTATGGTGAAAGGTCTAGGGGTGTTCAAATGGTTTGGTTACCGTGGTAACCGTTTTTACCGGTACTGTTTGGATAATTTGGTTTGGTTAATTTGGATAATTGGTTTGGTTTGGTTAAAGTTTTTAGCTTGTTTGGTTTAGGTGGTTTGGTTTGGTTTCAGACACTCCTAACCAGTCAAACCAAATTAACCAGTTAAGTAATTAGTCATATATCTAACATATATTATATACACATATTTAATACTTTGCATAACCACTCAAGACTTAACATTCATCCCTTTTAGACTCATAAAATATAAAGCTCAATATTGCTCATATAGTGTATATTTGTATGTGTAAAGTGTAGACCACAACATATGAATGCCTAATTTAGATAAATTTCATACATTATGATGGATGAAAACTTGAAAGGAAGGTCATTTCCAGCCTATGATAATTGGTAAGAGACTAAGTCAATTTACACAAACACAACAATTCATTAACCCATACCATTGTCATAAAATTTTGTTAGGTGAATACTTCTATACTGATCGTAAGATAATTGTCTTAGTTGCATGTATTTTTGTTAAGGGTCAACTATAACTACGTGTTGATTGTTATATTTTATTCATTATATAAATTGTGAATTGTTGCATTAACCGGAAAATTTTCATCGTCAATGATAATGTGATTTTTATATTGGTTAATCTGGTTAACCAATTAACCAAACCGATTAAACTTTAGTTTGGTTAATTTGGTTGTTGTATTAGTTTGGACGGTTTGGTTATGATATTGTATTCCATGGTTAATGAAATTTAGCGTTATTTGGTTTGGTTATAACCATGGTAACCATTTGAACACCCCTAGAAAGGTCCATGCTCTAAATGTCTTGGACTCTTGGTCACGGCTCACATGTGGTTGTTATCTCCCTTTTGCATGGTGATTATTTTATGAAATGATATGTATATTAACAAAAGGAAGTAATGCACAAAGTGTGCATTCCAACAACAACAGAAGTACAAGAAAATTATGCAAATAACAAAGTGTGCCCAATAATAAAATAGAAAATTATGGAAATTAAAGGACGTGACTAACCATAATAGGTCATACTCGAACTAGATTGGAGAAGGTTCCATGAAGTGAACATGACAAAGAAAGAACGGGACTGAAATTGTGTCACACATGTGTGAGTGAACCTGCAATGGATTAGAAGACGGTCGATGGATTCGGAAAAAATCCCAAAGTACACTAGTTTTTAAAAAAAATTCCCAAAATACATTAGTTATAAAAAAAATTCCAAAACTACACATGTTTGAGCATCACCGTTTTTGTCTAAAACGGTGAAGGTCATCACCGCGTTTGACAAACACGGTGAGTACTTCACCGTTTTAAACTAAAACGGTGAAGGCTTCACCGCTTTTGTCAAAAACGGTGAAGTACTCACCGTTTTAATTTAAAACGGTGAAGTACTCACCGTTTTTGACTAAAACGGTGAAGCCTTCACCGTTTTTCTAGGACGCGGTGAAGTAGCTGACGTGGCAGACACGGGGTATTCACCGCGTTAGACAAACACGGTGAATAACCCGTGTCTGCCACGTCAGCGATCCGCCTCAGTGTGTTTTCACCGTGGCCGTTAGATGCGGTGAGGCGCGGATCGTGGTTTTCTTCCCGCGATCCGACGCCTCACAGCAAGCCACGTGGACGGGGAGCCGGATTTGGGGAAGGACAGTCCTTCACCGCGTTCATCAAACGCGGTGAGTCCTTCACCGCGTTCGTCAAACGCGGTGAATGCTCCCCCACATTTACTGCGCAGCAGCTCCTCCCCCCCTTCCCCCAACTATAAATACCCCCTTCCCCTTTCACTTTCAACTCACCCCACAAACATTTCACTTCTTTCTCCCTCAATTTATCCGCTCTAGTCTCGTTCTAAGTATGCTCTGTGGTTGCGGCTAAGTCCGATCTTCCACATCAGAAAGAATTACTAGAGTTTGACCCTAAAGCCCCCGTCCCGCTAAGTTCCCGTCCCTTACAAAGCTAAACCCGTCGAACCTCTGTCCGGCTTCCGCCAATAATGGACGAAGAGGCTCTTCGTGTAGGTTTTTTGGTTTGTGATTTTTTTTAATCGAAACAATTTGATTTATTTTTTATCAAAACAATCTCTGATTATATTACTTTTTTATAGATGGGTGCCGAGATATACGATCCTCGATTGTATATCCATTATGGCCCAAGGGATGCGAGTCTATTAACCGATCAGCAAATGCATCGCTCCCGTGCCATTTGGGATAACAATCCGGTAATTTGATGAACTGACTTGCTTTATTTTATTATTTTCTAATGTTTTATTTTGCTTTATTTAATCTAATTAATTGATGTTTTTCCTATTTTTTTTAGGAATCTCTTGTTCCCGTGGTTCATAAAGGGACCAATAACTTGCCCGCTTGGCATCCAAGGTTGGAGCCCTATATAGCGAGGACCGGTTTGGGAATGTTGCGCCATTTCTTGCGGATCGAGATCGACAACGAGCTGCTTACGGCAATGGCGGAACGATGGCGTCCCGAAACCCATACATTCCACCTTGCGGAGGGGGAAATGACGATCACCCTCAAAGACGTGGCGATCCTCACCGGGCTTCCTATATCTGGAGATGCCATCATTGGGAACACGACCAAACCCGAAGGAGGTTGGGGGCCGCTCATCCGTGATCGTTTGGGCTTCGACATGCCGACCACCACACCAAATCAAGGACGGGGGCATCCACCGTTGAATGCGGGGCAAGTGTCGGTCCCGTGGCTGGTATCTCACATCCAGCAAGAGGTGGAAATCAATGACGAGACACCGGAAGAACAAGTCGAGCGCTACGCCCGCATCTACCTCATCGGTTTGGTGGGTGGATTTTTGTTCCCCGACAAGTCCAACCGGTGGATTCAAGCATATGGTTGCCATTGCTCACCGGTGACTGGGATGCAATTGGAGAGAAGAGTTGGGGATCGGCCGTGCTAGCGGGCGTATACCGGGAGCTGTGTACTTGCTCGAGGGTTGGGGCAAAGCAAGCTGGTGCTGCGATGTTCATCGTTCAACTGTGGGTATGGGAGCATCTTCCAATGTTCGCACCTCTCGACCCACGTCCATACCGGAGAAACGATGATGAGCTCAACCTTCTGCAAAATCTCCCCTACGGTGTCAAGTAAGTTTATTCCGTACTTAGCCCAATTTAAATTTTATTACATGCTTGAGCTAGATTTAAATTGAATTTATTCCGTACTTAGCCCAATTTAACTTTTTATTACATGCTTGAGCTAGATTTAAATGAATTTATTCCGTACTTAGCCCAATTTAACTTTTTATTACATGCTTGAGCTAGATTTAAATTGAATTTATTCCGTACTTAGCCCAATTTAACTTTTTATTACATGCTTGAGCTAGATTTAAATTGAATTTATTCCGTACTTAGCCCAATTTAACTTTTGATTACATGCTTCAGCTAGATTTAAATTGAATTTAAATTGATTCCGTACTTTTACTTACAAGGTGGATAGGAGCAAATACGAATGACCATCAGCCTGAGCATTCGTTACTGTTTTATCGTTCTGAGTTAGATAAACCATGGTGGAATCAGGTAATCATGTTTTGTCCATATTTGAACAAGATCAATTTTATC